CATTAGCTGGTATCCTGGTTACCTCTCCAGATCTTCCTAATCATCTTCTTTCATCCCCACAGCAACTTTTCTAAGCTTTCGTCAGTCTCTCTCATCACATAGTATTGGCCAGTGTTCTTAGTTGAAGATAACAGAAAACACTGCTTAATTTAAGTAAATAATATGTTGTTAAATCTAGAAATAATTCGTGGTATTTTTTGGGAGGGCTGAAGAACAGATTCTAGGCTAAGGTTCCAGGAATAACTCCCAGAATCACATCATGGACCTAGTCCATCAAAGGAGCTGCTGCCTCTTCCATGATTGGGGAGCTTTCAAATCAGAGACATATAACCTCAGTTGAGTCCAGAACTGTGCTGCTTCTGCTGCAATCCGTGTGGGAAAACTGGATGCTCTGTGTCCTGCCTCTTTCCCCACATAACTCTGTCCCAAATCAGTCTTTCATAGACCTAAAAACCTAAAACATATGTCTAATCCCTAACAGCAAGGGGAGCTGGGGGATGTAGTTTTGTGGGGGAGTCCTCCATTGCAGAAGTGGGATTTCTGCTATGAGAGACTATCAAAATACGAGAAGGGCCTTCACAATTTGAGAGGCTGCCTTAAATGACACATGTTCAAAATACTTGCCATAATGCCTTGTCTTGTAGTCAATATGCTCTCATCACTGCCCCTTCACAGATGTCCACTGAATTGCAGACAGGAAATGACATTTCCCAGAATGCCTTTCTCTCTGTGATACTGGCCATTTAGTATCTGCTGGTGGGGGGCACTCACGTGGGGTGAGTGGAGGGGAAGGAGAAGCCTTTACTCCCCGGAGGCACTAGCTGCCAATGTGCAGTTAGACACAGGATTTGCAGCTATTGCAGAACCACTCACCTTACTCATGTGGACCAAGATAGTTGATTGGATCTTTCTAAATGCTTTTGAGACTTCTAGAAGCGTCCATGCTGGCTCTTGAAAAGCTTGCCTTTTGTAATTGCGGGCTGAGATTTTTCACGTTGGTTACTTGACCTTCATTCCATCAGCATTTCCAATATTTGTGTAAACCACTAATTACTTGAAGTAAAATCCTTCATTCTTGGAATGAATAAAGTAACATTTGTTTTCCCGATTAAATCCAACTGATAGATTATCATTCCACCATCCACCCCCCCCAATAATTTCAACAATCCACAAGGAATAATCTCACTTCCCACTTATCAGAGAAGAAAACAGAGGTATACGGAAAAACTCCATGCCTCATGTCGATTATCATACGTGCATTTATATTCCATTTCAGCTCATTCTCTTTCATTGCAAAGGATGGGGTATTTCTCTTCCCTTTGAAGGTTAATTCTTCCATTAGTCCGTGATCCTCCAGACATTCTCTCTTCTGTATCTTTATTGTGAGTCTTCCTGCCTGGGATGTTCTTCCTCTGCCTCTTTAGCTGCTTTTTTCTATCATACAAATGTATAAAACCATCTCCCACGTTAAACATAAGCACGCAGACAACACACCACATTCAGCAGCACTCAGGGCAGCTAATTTGTGCTTTGAAAATAGCTCAAACACCTTAATGTTTTAAAACAAACAGGATTTACTTCCTATCATGCCACATGTCCGTTGCTAGTAGTCCCTAAGCTCTACTCATCCTAGTCTTTCAGAGACTGATGATGACAGAGGCGTCACCATTTTAATATGAGGCTTTGGGGTTTAATGCTGCAGACAAGGAGAGCGTGGAGATTCGTGCACTTATTCTAAATGATTCTGCCCAAAAGTAACATCTCATTTCCTGTTTTATTTTATGGCCAAAGAAGTCATTTGGCCATGTCTAAATTCAAGGGGAATCAGAGAGGGCAATCTGATTGTGGGCCTAGAATGGGAGAGGTTCTCAAAATATTGGTGAGTACTTCTAACCTCCCACAAATGCCCACCCCTTCCTCACCCTACACAGGTGTCTCCCACGCTTCCTAGTAAATTGCTTCCAACAGTGGTCTGCAATGTACCACCTGCGTTTCCTTCCTGACAAACTACCATCTTGTCTTTTCTGGAGACAGAATTCTAGTTGGTAATAATTTCCTTTGAGAATTGTTAAAGTGTTGCTCCATTATATTCCAGAATCCAATGATGCGGTTGAGAAATTTGATGCGATTCTGCTTCTTGATCTGTTGTATATGATTTTTTTCTCTCCAATTTTTTTAAGGTTATTGTCTTTATTCCTAGTCTCCTAACATTTTGTGATATCAGTTTTTGTTTTTTCATAGTGTGAGTTTTCTTAAATTTATTGTTTTTGGTGCTTAGTGGCCCCTTTCAAGTTAAATTTTTAACAATTGTTGGATAATTTTCTTCTATCTGTTTTCTCAATTATCTAGTTCTCTAATTTTCTAGAATTCTTATTAGACTGATCCTTTAATCTAATTCTTTTTCCTCTTTTATAACTTCAATTCTGTCTTTTTATTCAATTTTCTGAGAAAGTTGCCTTTATCTTTTAACACTTCTGTGAAGATTTAATATCTTTCATAGTCTCCATTTCCAAGATTATTTATTCTACTGATGCTCCTTTTTATAGCATTTATTCTGATTTTATGACTGCAGTCTCTTCTTTTACATTTTGAGTATACTCCTGGGTACATAGTGATTCTGGTGAAGTTTTCTTTTGCTCTCTGCACTTTCTCTTGCATTTAATTTTTTTTCTGCACATTTTCTTTGTTTTTTGACCTTTATATTAGAAGATTTCTTTAAAATTTCATTTTAATCTTGGTAGTTAATTTCCTCAAAAGTGAAACGTTAAAATGTTTTGAGGAGGCTGTGTATGCACAGGCAGGTCTGGACAAGAGGTAGACATCATCACGGAATGATTGGGTAGGAATCTTAGAATTATATTAGGAAACCCACCGACTGTAAATAATGATAGATCTCTTCTCTTATGGTCAGGATTTCACCAGAGAGAAGTAGTCAGATCTCCTGCCTTGCTGATGTAACTCTGGCTGTCAGTGTCCTGGGAGTCTGTTTCATATCTATTCCTGCCTAACAATTAGCCCCCAAATTAGTAGCTTACAATAACAACACATTGTCTTACAGCTTCTGTGGTCTGGGTCTGGGTGCAGCCTAGCTGGGACTCTTGGATTTGGATCTCTCATGAGCAGATGAACAACCATCTGGTTTGCCCAGGACTCTTCTAGTCTTAGTCCTGAAAGTCTTGTAGCCCAAGAAACCCCTCAGTCCTGAGAAAACTAGGACATTTGGTCACCCTACAAGCCTTCCGTCATCTTAGAGCTCACTGGGAAGGCTATGTTTCTAGCTCACTTGCGTAGTTGTTGAAAGGATTCAGTTTCTCACGGGCTGTTGGATGGAAGCCTCCCTTAGTTTCTTTCTAAGGGGGCCTCTCCACAGAGCTTGCTTCATCAGACTGAGCAAGCAAGAAGTCAAAAAAGCACCAGCAAGAATGCGAGCAAGATAGAAGTTACAGGTTTTGTCAACTAATCATGGAGATGATATCCCCTCGCTTTGTCAAATCCTATTCATTTGAAGCAAGTCCTGAGGCCCAGCCCACACTCTAGAGAGGGAGTGACACGGGGCTTGGATAGTAGAAAGGGGAGAATATTGAGTGCCATGCCAGGAGCTGCCCACTGTGGAGTCTAGTCAAGGAGTGGAGCTGTGTGGGGAAGGGATGCAAGGGAGACTGCTATTTAATTCACATGATTTCAATATTGTCCTTCACTTGTAGCTATGTTCAGTGTCCCCAAAACAAAAATCTCTCTAATTCAACTCCTCCAGAGAGTAAAATACCAGTATTCTACAGAGGGCAGGGAGGTAGGGTCATCTGCTGTGTGGGGTGGGGGATAAGATTTAGGAATAAAATGCATCTTATACAGACTTTCAATAATCCTCCTGGTCATTGTCCCGCCAGTCACACTGCTTTCTGACCTGCTTTACCCTTCAACTCTCGAGCCTTTCCAGGGTTCTGAAACACAAATTAGCCTGCTTATTGTCACCGAGTAACCACCCACTCCAGAGGCACTGAGCTTTCAGCTTTCCCCTATAAGATCATCAGTTTTCTCTCATCCAACTATTTTCTGTCTGCATACCTATAAACCCATCTTTTGTCTTCTATTGTTCTCTATCTTGTTAACTTTGTGCTTGTGACCTTATGCTTTTATATCCCTTTTATTTCAAAATAATGATGTTTCAAAAGGAGGTGTGGAAAATCCTTGTTCAATCCACCAGGTTAAATGAGAATCCCTATTCCTTCCTTAAAATCTCTATAAGGCATCCTCCTTTTCAACTCCCACTGTCATAGTTTTCTTTACGCATGGCCAGTGCCTGGTCTAGTCACTAACAGATAATAGGTATTTAAAAGTAAATAGTTGGATGAAACCAAATCAATGTGACTCTCTTGAGCACATCGTGACCCAGAGTAATCAAGAAGAAATCTTGACATAGGAAACAAGCAAGCAAGCAAACCAAACAATGCCACTAATCTATTGTCCTCAAGTGTTAAGAAGAAAAATAAACAGGACATGGGAAACCTTGTAGAATGTTAGATCCATAAAGCCAAGGATGTTTGCCTGTTCTGTCCACTGTTGAATCCTCTGTATCAACAACACCAACTGTCATATAGTAAGTGCTCAAGAAATGTTTGTCTCATGCATGGATGTGTAGTGACTGGAGTATTCTGTAAAATCAGAGGAACTGATGTGAAGTGACAACAGCTGGATTGCTTCAAGCAAGTCGTCATCCCACTGAGCCTCCATTTCTTTATCTCTAAAACATCAGCTATGATATTTGCCCAAAGATGAGGCTCTGCGGACGTTCTGGGATAACGTATGTCAATGCATATGGACAAATTCTCGTGCCTAGTATGTCTTAAAACATATATTTGTTTTCCTCTCCTAGTGAACAAAGATCACATTCAAAATGAACGGATACTGTTTCATACTTTCTAACTAAATACAAACTCAAAATACCTCAGATTACATGTCTTATTTTAGCCAAGCATGAGCAACAAATCTTTTCTTTCTTTAAGGATTGGGATGTGTGCAGCTGGGGAGAGGGAGCAGTCACCTGTAAGGATCTGAATGGTAAGTCTGACATGCCAAGTAGCAGTGGGAGATGGGACATTCCCTCACGCTGGCTAGAGGGTTGCAGAGAAATTTATTCTTTCCCTAGAATAAACGGTGATTTTTACGAAATTGGGGCCTATCGTTTCTTGCTGCCCATATAGGAAACTCGGTGCTCCTTGTATCCAAGACCCCGATGCAATTCCTTGGCACTCCCTACATGCCTCCACACTGACCACTGCTGACCTCAGCTGCATAAGTCAAAGTTGGAGCTAATAAAAGCTGGCAGAAACCTAAACTCTTAATTGAATCTCAAGGTCTTTATTGACTTTTTCCCCCATGTCCCTCCACCTTCCTTCTTTCTATCCCTCTTATTTTAGAAAGAAGTTTTTCATTAGTGAGTACAAAATATTTAGGTGTCTGGCATCTCCAGAGTAGATTGCCTTGTGCATTAGCTTGAAAGTTCGTTCCCAGCTTAATAGGCCTGAAGAGAAATGGACATACTTTGGCTAAACCAGGGAAGCTGATTGCTACCTAAATAACTGATTCATCTTCATAGCACATGGATATCAAAGATATTCAAGGGCAGAAACACCCAAGGTCATGCAAATTAGTTGTGGAGAAGAGCTTGACTAGAAGGTAATCTGAGATACAAACAGCCTTCATTTCCCAAACTGAAACTCATAATGAACACCTTAAGTAGTTGAAAGGCTTTAGAAAGACATCCAACCTCTTCTAGGGCATGTGGGAACGAGGGGATGAATTCTGTGTAAAATGATGCATCCAATCAGAGGAATTACCAGCACAGAGGGAAATTATGGACTTCACACTTTCTCTTTAATTCTTTTGCTGATGGTTTTTCTTCTTTGTTTACCTTGTCAGACTCACCTTGATGCCAATAGACAGATGTTGATTCTTCAAAATGCTCAAGAAAGAAATGATGGATGATAAATTGAGAGGCATTAAACATCCATTATATATTTAGTTCCAAGATTGGGATGAGGCTAAACTCTAGAGGAAGTTGTGTATACTACCTCTTCAATAATCTCCTTTTAAAATTGAATACCAGTTTTCAGGGTTCACAGAAAGCATCCCATATAGATGAGGTCTCATCTCACAAGAGAAGACAGCTAGCTGCAAAGATCCTTAGCTCATACTATCTAACTCCTGGAAACTACTCATCCAACTTTGTCAGATAGTTGCTAACTATTAGTCATGACTAGTGATACATGTAAGATGCATGTAGGATATGTGATCACTTCTATTTAAAACTTTTGTTTACTTCTCTGGTATAAACAGGCTAGTAACCATCATCTGGTGATGCTACCCAATGGCTTTCCTTGCGGTCAAGATTGGGTGCCTCTTCAGTTTCTCAGTATCCAAGTCTGTTCCAGATAGAGGAGCATTTTCTGGACCCGGTATAAAGTCCCGAGAGTCCTTGATTTCCCTGGTATCATCTCAGACCAAGTGGGTAAGTTTGCCCAAGGAAGAAGATCCCAGAAAGTAGAACAAGCCAGAGCAACTCCTGAAGCCCAAGAGTATGAAGTTTTTCAGGAGGCAACATCAGCAAAAGCTTTTGCCATTTCCATTTTTCATAGATGGTCCCCTGCTGTGTCTACAGCCCAACATGTACTTAGGTTTTTCTATTTTGCTGGGAGCTCTGTTAGGCTAATTTGATATTTTAAAACTCTGTCACCACTGTTCTTATTTAATAAGTAACTAATCAGTTCTGCAGTCTGTTGTGCCCTGCTGTTACTAGCAAAGCTAAAATAAGACATTTTGATTAATTTTTCTGTTTTTGAGCAATATGTTCTGATAACTTCTAATATATTGACTCTAGGATATTTGAATGCACGTTCTGAGTCTAAAGTTGTGCCTTGTGGCAGGTGTTCAGTTATGAAGACAATGCATTTCCAGGATGAAAATGTCATCAGCATATAACATGCATGTAAAAACCTTTTCAAAACCCAGAGCGTGGATATCCAGAACATAGGACATGGGAAATATTTTACTGAGTAAACACCTCAACAACAAAACATGCTACAAAATTTCAGGAGATTTTCCTGAAGGGAAACAACTTCAAAATGTGTTGATGTTCCTCTTATAGTCATAGTTACTTCTCATATTCTCTAGAAAATTCTGTCACTTTGGAGCAAGTTATCCATTGATACTTTTTCCATTTTGAACTTGATGCATCACATATGGAAGACCTATCATAATTCTCTTATCCCCCTATTTTCAGAATACCTAAAGTAATAGAAAAAAATATATATTTGATTGGTGTGGGGATTATAATCATTTAATTTTGTAAAAGTTTTAGCTGTGGTTCCTTTTAGTATTCAACTTCACTACAGTCTTTAAACCTGTTTCATTTGTGGAAATATAATATGCATTCAAATGCTCAAAACTCCTGCATTGCACACAATGAGGTTAACATTGTTATAGATTATAAATAAGAATAATAATAATAATGGCTAAGATCTATTTAACACATTGTGCAGAAGCCTGTCGTGCAATATTTTGCAAGGCTAGATGACTCATTGGTTGACTCAAAATACCTGGTTGTTACATTGCCTGTTGAGTGGCACTAAATTTAACGTTCAATGAGATGAAAACGCATGATAATATATTGCATTAAATGGAGGAACACAAATCCTTGTTTAGGTTGCTCTTGCCCGAAGAAAGATCATTGTTAGAAATTATCTCTCAATCTCTCAGCTTCAGTAGACAAGAGACACTAAAATTGGGAAGAGACACATCTCAGGTAATGGAAGAGTTTGGGCCATCAGAGGCTTCAGAAGGATACTTTGAGGTAGTGTCACACCAACCTTCAAGTAGGACGTTCTTGAGTCACTAAAAATTAGTCACGATGCCTACAGACATGACATATACTCCTAGACTGACATACACACACACATACAAGGGGGTAGTTTAAGAAACACTGGGTGAAATAGATATATATTGCAGAACTTCTCATAACTCTTAAGGTACTCTTGTGAATCTTCAAAAAGTTGATAGACAGTTTTCATTTTAAACCAATTTCTTTCCCTCTTTCTCTGTGTTTGCAAGGCATCTGAATGACTAATTTTCTTTGGAATCTTACTCTGGGAAATGCTATGTTAGCACATTTGAGTATTATTCAGAATTAAACATATAATAGGATTTATTAGACACCTACTGATTTATTTATTTAGGATGAGACTGCATTTTGTTAAAAAAAATAATCAAATAGCTGAAAATGAATGATGGTGTAAAAGAGATTCTTCCTAATGAAAGAAGGGACTAGGACAAAAAAAAAAACAAAATGACAATGTGAACCTTACCTTCATGTTGCTCATAGAAATAATATCCAGCCTGTTATCTTGATGATTTTTATGAAGTCCACATGCGACGTATTATATAACACAGATTTATGAAATTTTAAGCAATGTGAAATTATTACTTATTCTTAGAAAGGCAGTTTGATATTAGTGATGCTTGAAGTTATAACATCAGAGCTAAAATGCCAGTACTACCAATGATCATGCAGTTGATTCTGGAAAGATAATATTACATATTACACAGGATTGATCTAAGAATTACGTGAGATGGTAGAAATGTGACTGTACTTGGTAAACCTTAAAGCACCGTGACAAGATTTCTCAAACTGAGGTTCACGGACATACACTCAAAGACCCACTCTAATCTTTGTTTTGTTTTGAGACGTATTTCAAAGATAATCTTACAAAATTTATTTTTTATAGAATGTAAAAATTTATTTTTACTCCACAAAACGATTTTACAATGATAATTTTCTATCAAAAGGCATTTTCAAAGTATCAGACCTTGTTTTCTTAAGTCCATGTTTCCCAAACTGAGATTCGTGGCTATATTCTTGAGGTCTGAGAGAAATAAATTTCTTTAAAATGGTTCTTGGAACACACAATTTTGAGAATCACTGCCCTATAACTAATACAAATATTACATTATCAATTGAAATTTTAAGAGCATCTGATGAGGATGCTTGTCACCAGGGAAAACAGCCTAACTTTCTCCATATTTCTTAAATGACTTTACAAAGCTGTTGCTTAGAAAATTTACTCTCAGAAATCATGCCTGGGATTTCACATGATTGTTAAACATACAACATGAGTAAAGTGTTCACTAATCAGAAGGAAAATGCCTGATGGGTCTGTAACTCAATAAACCATGATGCTTAGGATACTGTAACTTAATTTTAAAACAGTACTGAAGAAGCTCAGTACACAAGTGATGACTTAATAGCATCATCAATGAGAGAATTAACATTTTTTTCACAAATTCTAAATCAATTACCGCACTGTAGCAATGTGATCTTATGTTAAATGTCTAGCATTCCTCTGGTCTCAAAACCCTGGCAAACACCTGCAGTTTTCCCGTCCCCAGGTGGGACTTCTTCTTCATGAAGTACACAGGCAGAGTTCCAATTATGGTGATTACCAAGGTGCTCAGACTCCCTGGCACTGAGACATTAGTGAAGCAATGCTCTCTCCAGGTGGGCTTCTGTGTTTCCTCAGATCTGCCACTCCAGGTCTCTTTAGAGCAGGTGTGCTTCCCACAGCACACAGGCTATTCGCAGTAGGAGGGAAGGAGTCACAGAGGAGCCATGTCAACACCTTGCACAGGTGTGAGTGCCCTTGAGATCAGCCAATGACTTGCAGAATCTTTTAGAAGCTTCAATAATTCTAGCAGTAAAGGAGGGAATTCTTATACTATTAATATTTTACTAATATTATACTATTAATATTTAAATACTTAAAAATATTTAAATATTAATATTTAAAATTATCAGGTGTCACTCCTGATCTGAAGCTTTGGGTATCTTATGAATGGGTTCTATGATTCTGATATTACTCATGCACTGCATAACATATCAGTCAATGACGAACCACAGATACGATGGTGGTCCCGTTAGATTGGTACCATATAGCCTAGGTGTGTAGAAGGCTCTACTATCTAGGTTTGTGTAAGGACACTCTATGATGTTCGCACAATAATGGAATCACCTAATGATGCATTTCTCAGAATGTATCCCTGTCATTAAGTGATGCATAACTGTACATATATATTTTTTTATTCTCTTTCTCATTAACAGTACACAACACAGTTCCCCTGAACTGCATAAGAGCAAATTATACAAGATTAACAGAGCCAATGATTTCTAGCTAATGATAACTATTTTCTTTGTAAGAAAAATTTATTGGGCTCCAAGGGACAGCATGTATTCAAAGCAGGTAAAACATCTGAATAAATACAAATATTAGCTAGATTTTGAAGTTTCTCTTGTTTCCATGCTGATTGTTCCCACTTTTCTGTTACAACTTTAGTGAGCCTAATGGGTTTATTTTTTGTGTGAAGGCTTACAGATTAAAGGACCTCCATAGTGGAAGAACAGATGATATTGCAATGATTTTAGACTCAATTTATTTTGAAATGTATCACCTTGAATAAGTATATTATCACAGCCATTGAAAACTAGGGCTAAACATTTATTGGGCACTTACTACAAGGCACGTTCTGGCTCAAGTACTTTGAATTTTACTCACACAATAAACTCAATTTCTAGATAAAGAAATTATGGTATTATTAGGTAAGAAAGTGTCAGAACTGGGTCCCAAACTTGAGCAATTAGGTTTCCATTGGTTTTCAGCAACAATAGTTTACACATAGCAGGATAGATTAGATTTTAAAACCAGTTTCTACTCTTGCTTTTACTCTAGTATTTTAAAAGGTGCTGGATCAAAGAAGAATGAGTATTGTACTCTGAAACTGAGAAGAAAACATGGATGTGAGTTTCAACAGTACCATTAATTGTATGATGTGGGGAAGTCATTTGACCCTCTGGGCTCCATTTTACTCATTTGAAAAATGAAAGGGTTGGGTTAAATCTTGGAGGGCAAATACATAGTTAACATGATGCTAATCCCCTAGTCTATATTCTTCTTATAAATCATTACCCACTCTTTTATACTGACTTTGAACATAGAATTACAATCTTCTTAACTTAGCTTTCCATGTAATCTCTTTTGATTGATTGAAGCCTGTATATGAGATAAAACCTAGCTCTCATCCCTGGACAATATGATATATAAGCCCTCTTCCAGTTCTAATATTTAATGGCTCTTTGTACTTAGTAATGTAATTATAGAATGGGCAGAAGGATTTGAGTGCATGCTTTAAAGTGGGGAAGAGTAGAGAGATCTGTGGATGGACTGGGAGGAAAAGAGACTGAGTACTAAGAAATAGGAAGACACCATCTGAGTCTTGAAACATATTTTCAAGGCTGACTCATGCCTATGTCTTGAGCAGTAGGAAGCCTTTCCCAATGAGAAGATTTACATCTCCATCTAGGCCTACTCAATTTCTCAGCATGAAGCCAGAACACTGAATTTATTACCAGTACAATGAATTATTTCATTTAATCACAGGCTTGAATCTTGCTGTTGCATCTTC